GTTCATACATACTAACACACCAAAAACTAATCAAAATTAAAAGCTTTGCATGTGATATACATAGGTGCAGGTGTTAAATTTTTATGTGATCTGGTTAAGCATGCTGAGTGAATATTAATATTAGATAGATAGACAGCATTTATAAATTACTATACAACCCATGGGTGACTGAGTCATCATTTCAGTTGTGTCGTCGTTCTGAAGATATTAACTTACAACAGAATTGTTGTCAACAGAATTATCAGGGGTGGTTAAAAATGGGTGAAAGGGGAAAAAGTCAATACAGAAGCTAGCAGGGAAGGTTGCAAGTTGCTTGGGTAAGTCTCTCTTAGTAAAACTGGTATAGTAGGAGCTGTAGTAGCCTATCTGTGGGCACATTTGCTTGCAAGGTTTCTGATCTTTCACTATTCTGCTCTGAATGACTATGGTTTCTCACTATGGGTTCTTTTGTTGCTGGGAGTGCTTTACTTCTGCTTTTCCTGTAACACAATGTGGTTGTGGGTAAAGGCACTGAGGGTAGATGTTAAGGACTAGAATGAGAGAAACTATAAAGATAGAATATGCCATTTAGAAGAAAAGGGCAGGGAACCTTCTTCTTCCTCACATTGCTAAAAAGGTCCCTGGCAGGACCTCAGTCCCAAGAAAGTGGATATAGATTACTCACACAGAATATCTGCACCATGGAAAAATGTTCTACTGGATTTCTGCCTTATGCTTGCTCAGAAAAGGACAAAAAGTCCCTTAAGGAAACTTTCCACCTGGAATTCAGCTTCAAGATGAGTTTTGCCAAAGCCTTCAATGCCACATTCCTTCTTTACATGGCTGATGTACATATTGCAGTGGCACTCAATTTGGGCAGCCTTAAAAAGAAATTAGACTATAAGTTACACAAAACATTAAGCCACACACCAAGAGTGGACAACAACACAGCTTACAAGCAGCACACATTTCATAATGTCCTGATTCAATAGCAAAATGGCGAATATTTAGTTATACATCCAGGGCATTGGTCTTTTTCCATATGAGAGTGAGATGTTTGAGATTGGTCTTTCTACCTCTAACTTTCCCATGCCATAGGAAAAACTCAGATCAAGCCACTGAAGAACACCATTTATGGAGAGAATTGGTGAAAAAAATGGAAAGAAACACAAGAGGCTTCCAATTTTCATTTCCTCATTCCCTTCCTAAAATTTAACCCAACCAAGGTTTCCTTTTGAGGAACACTTGCTCCAGTGGTGGGATTCAATTTTTTTTTACTACCAATTCTGTGGGCATGGCTTGGTGGGCGTGGCAGGGGAAGGATACTGTAAAATCTCCAGTCAGAGGTGGTATTTGCCGGATCTCTGAACTACTCAAAATTTCTGCTACTGGTTCTCCAGAACTGGTCAGAACCTGCTGAATACCACCTCTGACTTGCTCTGTTTATATTCCATATTAAACATGTATAATTCATAATTAGGCCAGTAGATTAGAAAATCAGTTCCTGTTGCACCCGATACAGAACCATTTTTTTCAGACTCCTTTTATATCTGTTATGTTTTTGGACCAGTCAACCTCCATTTGAACCTCTTCCAAATCTTCTTTAAATTTTTCCAAAATTTTGCTGTCCTTTTGTACTGAGTTCAATTAGAATCTTTTCTATTTGAAAGTAAAAAAATCGCACCCTCTAATGAATTTGTATTTCAATCAAAAAATATTTTTTTTCTTTTATATAAAATTCTAAAAGGTATTTCTTTTAAGCAGGGGTGGGATTCAAATTTTTTAACAACTGGTTCTGTGGGTGTGGCTTAGTTGGTGGGCGTGCTTTGATGGTCATGTGACTGGGCGGACATGGCTTGGTGGTCATGTTATTGGCTGAGCGTGGCCAACTCAATATCACTCACATCGAGGCACGCATCTCCCCGCCTGGCCTCTGATGACTGTGGAGATACTGCAACAGTCGTAAGTGTGAAAAATGGTCATAAGTCACTTTTTTCAGTGCCATTGTAACTTTGGTCACTCCACACAAGCAAAGTACCAGCAAAGGAGGGAAAAATACTCCAGAGATGTTCCTGAGACAGGAAGTCCAGTCCTGCCAAGAATGTAATAAGGGTTAACGGAGAGGCAGTTTCTGTAAGCAACACCAGAATGTTTCCTTCCTGCCTTCCTTACAGGATTAGTCCAATAATTTCTTCTAACAACCAGTTCTCCAAACTGCTTAGAATGTTAACAACCAGTTCTAGCAAATAGGTGCGAACTGGTAGAATCCCACCCCTGCTTTTAAGGTAATAATATCTATATTATCAATATTTAATTTTGTATTGAAATATTGCTGCACAACTTGATCCTTTGTTTTTTTTCTCACACAAAATGCATTAAAATATCCCTTGGAACATTTAATTATTCTTGAAAAGTGCAAGCTTAATCAATATACCTTGACAACTTCCATTTCAAGATGTATTTTTAGACTTTATCTAATATCTTCATCAGGAATACTCTGGAATACTTCTAAACTCAAACAGAATATTTTTTTCTGAGTTGCAGCAAAGGTACATTATCCATCTTTCTCTCCAATTTTCTATCCGGAACTTCCAATTTACTCTCTTAAAATTTCCAACCCAGCGTTAATTTATTTATATCCCAGACTTTTGTTTTACAGAAATTTCCATATGATCAAGCTTTCTTCTACTTATCTGTAGCAAAAGAAAATCTCTGTCAGGTGAAAGAACAATTATATACAAATCTGTTTAAGAAATGAGGATTCATCCCATGCTTCCAAGCCACTCAGCTTGTAAGCAAACCACAAAAAGTTCCATCTTTGCAGTTAACTCACAGGGAACATCCATTTAGTGATCTGATAAGTTGATTTCATGCCTCCTCCTTTATCTGGGAAAGTTCAGTGTCCAGAGCTAGCTTTTGGGCACCAATCTCAACTGTGATATTGTCTCTGGTCACCTGAAGACAAACTAAATCACACTTAATCCTCACTGGAAGTGCCAAATGCACAACTGAAATTGATTAATCTTATCTCCCTCCCCTTAACTAACATACACAATCCCTTTGAGTTGAAGTCATTCTTCAATTTGAGATCCTTAATACATAATCAAGTCTTATGCTGCATTCCAAAATCACAACTGTTAGTTTCCTATAAGTTTCAAACAAAAACCTTATACAGAAGATATAATGCCAGGCTCTGTATTGTTTTGATTGGCTTAATATAGCAGTCAAATATGATTAAGCTTAATGGGGCTTGTTGAGGTAATTCCCCGTTAGGAGAATGAGCACATACAGGGAGACGTATTTGAGAGTAGTGTTTGAATAATACACACATAGCACACAGATACACTGTACAGTAAATGTAGGTTTTTACTTCCAGAAAGGTTTAAGCAAAGTTCAAAACAAGCAGTCCAAAGTCATTCACAGGTAAATCAGCCAGTTTTTCAATCCAGGGATAATCCAATAATAAAGTCCAGTGTCAAAAATAGTTCAGTATCAGACTCACATCAAATCCAGGAATAGCAGTCAATTAAGAGGAAACGGCAATATTCTCCAACAGAAGAAAACAGAGACCCACTGAGACTTCTTCTGAGACTAAGACTAAACAACCCAGGTTTCTGGCTCCATCTTATGGCCGTTTGAGAAACCACACCTAATTACAGTTTTGCATTTTCTTAAAGATACAGTTTTAAAATGTTTGTCCTGGTTTATATATTTCTAACCCAAATACCTGTTAGGTGACTTATATTCCTAACAGGGCTTACTCACCAGAAAATGCCTTTCTAGCACAAAAATATTTGCAGATAACCCTCAAAGGCTTAAAAAAGTTTCCCTCCACTGGGAATTATTGAAATTCAACTCCCATATTCCTTATCACAGATGTCAATGGAAGGGACTAAGAAAGGAAAATTTACTTACTTTTCTCTACAAATTGAGCAATGTTCAGAACTTCAGAATAAAAAACTTAGCTAGGTGGCAGCATTTAGCCAAATGTGATACTTTAAAAAAAAAAAAGGAACAGAAGCAAACTTAATTAGCACTTGGATAGGAAATTATTATGAAATCTAGAATAGTTGGGTTGACTATAAAGTTGAAAACACTTTCCAGAAGGCCATGGCAAACTACCTCTGTAATGCTGTTCAGAAAAATGCATGAATATATCCGGATCCAGAAACTGGTAACTTGAACATATTACTCTTACACTGAGCAAAACACCCATCAAAACCTTACTTAGTCTTAAGGAAAAAAATATTGTATGTTTAGCAATAAATTACAACTTCCAGGCTTGTACTCAGTATTCAGCTCTTGACTTGGAAGAAAACTCAAGACATAATTGTTCACTAGAAACTTTATTGCACACAAAAATGAAATTTTAAAACAGCAGTTGACTGCTTGCTGCAGCAAAAATGTCAGAAACCTTTATATTGTATATGTACCCATGCTCCAGAGTTTAAACCTTCAACTTTTTATTCATACTTTTCCAGGTTAAAGGAATTCTTGGAGATTGATCAACTTTACTTTGGGAATTGCTAGTTCTTGCTTTTCCATCTTATACCTCACTTACCATATGTTTCTCTGAGCAACCATTTTGCCTCTCCAACTAACCTCCAAAGACCAGAGTTTCTTCTACAGATGCAAACCTGCGATAGAATTTTGCACTTCTATAAAATTCACAAATGTGACAAAGCCCAGATTACTCCATAGTAAGATACACTCAAGCAGAAGACAGATATTTGAATTTTATTTTTTGGGGAGTTGCTGCCTTATATTATCAACATCACTGATTATTTCTATATTGATTTTGAACATTTGTTTTCAGAAGTCAGAGCTTGGGTGAAATTCTGAGAAAGGGTATGGAAAGTACCTGTTAGGTATGTGCAAAATGTATTTTGATCACTGAATCATCAGGCAACTGATATCTCCTCTATGCTGCTTGGAATAAAGGGCAATTCTTATTTTAGAAAATAAGCACTCACAAGTGTTTTCACTCTTGTTCTCTCCATCCTCTTTTTGGTATGGGTTGGTTTAACCATCCTCCCCACCTAAAGTGAGAACCAAAGAATAAAGGACACTTCCTGTGAATTCAGACTGAATCATTCATGTCGTGCATAAAAGATATCAAGGTGGATTCCCTTTTGCTCACCCAAAACCGACTTTAATAGATGATGGAACAGCAACCCAAACTAAGGTAGGTTTTCTTTGTCCAGCCAACTCTGTGGAAGCCAAAATTCTTTTTTATGTTTTTTGCTGGACTATTTAGCAACGTTCTATTGCTCTTTGTTTTCTATTCATCTATATATATATATTCACATATACTATGCTTGATGAATTTCTCCTTGTCTTGGCCATTGGTTGTCATTTCTTCGGGGTGAAATTTGGAAAGGCATGATGGTACGGCATAAATTACTATAAGTGTTTTTAGATCTATAATCTGAGCTCATGATAATGTTACAGTAATATAACATAATACAATAAATATACTATAATATACTCTTCTTATAGATATTTTTACTGCGGAGCTTTTTTATAGAAAGTTGTAATTTACAAATCCTTTTTACTTAAAAAAAAGAAATTCTAAGAGAGAAAAGAAAGATGAAACAATAAAAACACAACTACAAGCAAATAAGAAACCAGTTAAAGGAGGCAGAAATGGGAGAACTGAAATAAAACTAGTCAATAAATTGCTTTTAAACAATATTTAGCATAACAATACCATCTATTTTATCAGCTTTAAGAATCTGTAGTGCAGTTTTTTTGTTTCTCTTCAGCATCCTAGTTACAAAGTTACTTTTCAAAGGAGGTAATGCATGATATACTAAACCATAAACTGACCACATGAGCTAATTCATATGTTAGGCTAAAATGGAATTGGCACATACTACTGCTCAGTATGTTGGTACAAGTTGTGTTTTTTGGTCAGGCAGGTATTCTTGTTAACAAGAAACTATCATTAGAAGTTTTGGTGGACATGAACAAAAGTGTCCAAATGTTTGTTTTAAAAGGAAAATTATTATAAAGAACAAATTAAAAAATGGCTAGCATAAATGTTGCACTGGAAAAAATGGAAAGAATGACAAAAATATATTGTGTTCATTAAAAAAATTACCTGCAAGGAAATAAGAATACAAAGAGGAGTTTGCAGCATGAATGCTTTAGTCATGCTGAACTACCCGTCATGTTCATGAGCTTTCAGGAAAACTGCATAGAAAATAAATTTTGAGTATCAGCGGGTGGAAGAAGGCTAGGGAATACTGCATCCAGAAAACCAAGTAAGTGACTCAGAGGAAAACATGAAAATATATTTTGCAGAGATGGATGCAGTTATTGCTAATTACCATAATGGTTTTATTTTCCCTTTCATTTAATCATGTCTGATTTTGGAGACTGTCTTGACAAGTCCCTGACATTTTCTTGCCAAGATTTTTCAGAAGTAGTTTGCCACTGTCTCCTTCCTTGGGCTAAGAGAGAAGGACTGCATATTACACTAGGTGGGGGGAATAGTTTTTAGAAAAATAGTGGATTCACACATTATACAAAACCAGGATTCCTTCATTAAAACATAACTGGCGCAGTTTACACGATAAGCTAAGTCAAATCATTGGCCGTAGTTGTTCAATACTGAACCATAAACTAGTCAGATCACATTTTAAAGGGGGGGAGGAAATGTAATTGCATATTACTATCCTCATATCAATGGAAATTAGCTGTTATTTTGAAAAGATCTAATGAAAGTTGCACATCATAGTAGAATAAGTATGCTTAGCCATATCACAAACATTTACAATGCTATAATTAATAAATCAAATCATTATTAGTAGGCATGCAACAATCTAGAAGCAGCATTTACTTTTATCAAACACTATGGTTAAGGAATACTCTGAACCCTAGACTGCTGCTATGTAACTCTCTGGGCAATGTGTTTGGCCAATGTGTTTTGAGATTATTTTCGGACTTGTTAAAACTAGATGTATTTCTGCTAAACACCAAAATAAGAAAACTAGTTATCATTTTGACTTTTAGGGGTAGGACATTTGTAGGGAAATTATCCCAGACTACACATTTACTTAGTACATTTCATTTATTTCATTATACAGTACTGTATTTTATTTATTAAATTCATGTGCTGCCCATCTCATAGTTTGAAACAACTCATACGTACTAAAAAACAAAACAATAAATGTCTCTGGAAGGCTTGAAACAAAGTAAAAATGTTATTTGCATTGCAATTTTTTTTAACTTGATTTCAATGGACTATAAACAGTAGAAAAATTGCAGTGAGAAAAGAGAGAGATTATTTTCTTTAGTTCATATATTTTCTTCATCTTGTTCCGACCTCCTGAGTGAGACAAGCTTAAATCATCCTTAGCTACAACTGATTAAAACAGTCTTTTTTCTCTTATTCTGAAACCATCCAAGAACATCCTCCTCTGGCCTGTAAAATTATTAGATTTTCTCACCCATTAGCTAGAGGGAAGCCAGAGGACTGAAAGAACTAGGAATTTGCAACAGAACAGGAAAGTAATTGGAAATGGAGACAACCAATTTTATGACAGTATATTTTTCTGCCACATCAAGAATGGATTGGATGGAAAGCATGACAACTCCGTAATGGGGAAAAGGTTTCAGACTCTTGAGGGGTTCTCACCATGAGGAAGGGTAGTGGGTGAGATATTTTAATGAGAAAACCAAAATGTCTTCCTCAATAATGAGCATCTTTGGTAAACTGCAATGCTCAGGGGCCGCATTGATAAAAAACAAAAACAAAACTGAAATGAGTAAAGCATTCCAAATTAGAATGATAAAATGCAAAGGAAAAAGGACAAGCTGGCCACACTTTAAAAAGTAGCCACATGCAAGGAGAGATTTCATATATAGATTGGGGAAGCTTTAGGAAATCTATCACACAGTCATCAAGCTGCTTCTTGCAAGAAAAAAAGGCTAGAAATTTATACCAATTTATCCAAAAGAAAGTTTCCTAGAACTCATAGGGGATTATTTTTAAGAATTAAGCATACAGCTGTGCAGAGAAGTGAAAATTCTCTGGGTTCAAATACTGCCTATCCAAGATCTACGAAGGTAATTTTAAAATGGTATAGATCATATGTAAAGGACTTTGCTTGCAATGCATTAAATGTCAGTATTTTTATTCTAGGAAAATGTGACACACATCAAACCATTCAGCAATGAAATTTCTGTTAAATTTTTCCTGTGTGCTCAATCTCTTGTACGCTGTTCTTCTCTTTCCCCCCCACAATCACGCATGTGTATACGTACACAGACACACAATCATTTACTGGAACTGTGATGTATTTATTTAGTTGTTGACATGTTTTCTTTTGGATTTCTAATTTTTTTGTTTCATTTTACCCATTTTTGATGAAAGTACTGGAGGTGTTAGCTTCCACATAGTCAAAAGGAATCTATCTTTGCTGACATCGTTAATGTGGAAGGAAATTACGATGCATACATAACTTTTTGGATAAAAGCACAGCTTTATGGATACCAATTTTACCAGCTGTTTAGCAGCTCCCACATCAAAGAAACTATTCTTTCATGGGTGGTTTTACTGGTTTGACCTTTCTCTTTTGGAGGCATCATACATCAATGATTTCTAGGTAATTCTGTGTCAATAGTGAAACATAATGATTGGGCTCATTGGAATACGTTTAGGAAGATTTATATTCAAATTATTGTTTAGCCATGAAGCTCACTTAGTAACCTTGGGTTAGTCATTATATGTTGGTCTATCCTACCTTATAAAGTGGATCTTAACCTAAAATAAGTTTGTGAAGTTTTAGAACAACATTCTCAACTGAAGTGAGTTGGGATGGCAAATCCTGAAAATTCTCATGCAGTAAGAATTATAAGGGTTAATGTTCCAACAGATCTCAGACTGGAAAATTCTATTTGGGGCACTACTACTACTTTAAGCTTCTTTTGAATGAAATTACTGGACACTTAATAATTTGTCATTAGGCCCGTGAGGTGCTTCAAATTCAAATCTGAAAGAGTGCTTTGGAGTGTGCAGGAATTCAAACATAGCACCTGCTTAAAACACTTCAGTTCAAGCATTAACGTAGTAGCAGATCCTTAAAGCAGCAGTTCTAGGAAAAGACTTTATTAAGGAAAATTGAGAGCTTGTATGCCCTTGGGGGACTTATGAAACATGAACATTCTGTGTCAAACAAGCACATCAAGTGATGCACTTGAGTCATACAAAGGACATGGCCTCTGCCTACTGAAATTCCTTCTACTCCTGTATTTCATAATCTTTTGGACTTTTAAGACACATATCCTCCAAACCCTCTATTGGAACCTGCTTGATTAGGTAAAACCTTGATTTATAAACATTTGCCTAAACTTGTGTAATCCTTCATCAGATAATATCCATACAAAATTCTGACATAATATCAGAATCGTACTGATGAAAAGAGCCCAGGGAAAATATTTCTCTTCATTCCAGGAAGAATACTATAAATAAAGGTGAAATGCAGGGAATAAAAGGCATCCTTTTATTTATTGCAGGGAATGTAATAGCAAGTAAGAACACAGATTAAATCACAGAATACAATGATGAACATACTCTCATTATAAATGAGAATGCAATTAACTGAGTGGATAACATACTATTTGCCTTTTATAAGAACAGAGTCTAGCTATTATAGACAGTGTTGAACTCCAACTCCAGTAAGTCTCAACCAGAAAGTCATTTAAGCATTCAGTATTTGCAAATACAGTATTTGCAAAACACCAGATAAGTGGGATTGAAATATGAATTCAGCTGGTAATTTAATGGCTGTCTTCAGATAATGTTAACTGAGCCATAGCTTATCAATTAGGACAATTATCTTGGTCTTGTAGCAGAAAAATGGTAAATTACCTACATACCATTTGTAAATTACCTACATACCATTTGTGGATCTAAAGAATAATAATACCTATTATTATTACAATGTCAGTATATGAAAAACAAAGATGAAAGATTGTATCATAAACCTGCTGTGGTGGTCTCAGTGTTTATCACACTAGATACCATACACACAAGAAAAAATATTGGATGGCCCTTAGAAAATATGTGCATTGATAAAATATCCATCTGTCAATTACAAAAAGTCATACTGCTTGGATTTGCACATATACCTGTGGTGGGATTCAATTTTTTTTTACTACCAGTTCTGAGGGTGTGGCTTAGTGGGCATGGCAGGGGAAGGATACTGTAAAATCTCCATTCCCTCCCCACTCCTGGGGAAAGGTTACTGCAAAATCCTATTCCCTCCCACCCCACTAACCTGCTTTCCAGCTCTGTTCTCCTGTGCAGGGCAACAAAAGAAAACCCAGCCGATCATCTGGGACTTGGGAGGCAGAGAGTAGATGGGAGCAGCGCCAGTCAGAGGTGGCATTTGCCGGTTCTCCGAACTACTCAAAATTTCCTCTCCCAGTTCTCCAGAACTGGTCACAACCTGCTGAATACCACCTCTGACATATACGATGTCAGTACATTATGACATCCTTAGCAGAATATTAACCCTTTTGTGAGTTTCAGTTCACAATATTGTGTAATGGGAGCCAATTGAGTTTAATTAAAATAGATTAGAATTTCAGTCTTTTTTTTTTTTAAAGATGTTACTTGCAGATACATGAGTATTTGTAGATACCTGCTCCTAGGCTGGAATTAAAAACAAAATGGAAATAGAGCTGAGAGAAGGTTGGAATTAGGGTATGTAGTTCAACCAGTGAGTGTCAAGACAAATTGGTATTTAGGTTCAGCTGAGAATCCCAGTCAGTTTTCAAAGGCAGTTCCAAGAATCCATCATAGTAATCCAGCCAGTAGAATTGATCCAGTATGTTTTTGTTTTGTAGCAGAACAACACATGGGCAAATCTACTCACCCAATTCTCAGAAGTTATTCTGGCACTCTTTTTTAAAAAAGGTTTTTCCCTTGATCCCAACAACATTGCTTATAATGTCATCATGGCACCAGCCTGTATGTCTCCATGAAAACATTACAACACAAAATCTAATTCATGACAATGTTTCCCACTTAGGATAATCCCTAAAGCAGAAGATAGAAACTAGCCCACCATCTCTTTCAGTTTGTTCCTGCTTATTTTTGTTGCTGAATTAAATACAAGGTAGTGGCAGGATTTTCAATTTAGCAATATACATTGTGGTTTTGAGTTTCCAGTAAACATTAATCCATTATAGCCCTCTATATCTCCATTATCCGGGCAATTATGCAGATTAATTAATATTATTTCAATTATCAAAGGGATGATTTATGAAAAGGAGAATGTTTTAATTACAAAAAGTTAATAAATGCCAATTGTTTTAATTCTTAAATTTCCCTTAATCATAACATGATAAAAGTTATCAAGCAATTAAGAACACATATGTTTGTGCATAACTATATAAATTAAAATTTCAGTGTAGATGTATATTTTAACAGGACTGTATAGTATTGATAGAAAGCAAGAAATTAACACTTTAATCCCAGAAAGTCATATATTGTCATCCCGAAAGCACTCTCAGTATATTACTAATGAACAAAAGTGACCATTGTTATCCATAAGAAAAGAGACCAAGGAAGCATTTATCAATACACCAATATATTCCATATCATGATATCATTTAGATACACCTTCCCAATGTACATGTAACAAAACAAGCAAAGGCAGCCTATTACTGAAATAGGATAGGACTTGGAGAAAAAACAGGACCAAGTTCAATGCAGATATATTGCATCTAAACATAGCAGGGTTGGTTTACCACATTTTAGAGGAAACCAGGGGTCACCAACCTTTTGGACCTCAGGGACCACCAAACTCATAATTTTAAATCCCGGGAACCACTAATATGAATTCAAATTTCTTAACAACCGGTTCTCTGTGTGTGGCCTAATTTGTGGGTGTGGCTTGGTGGTCATGTGACTGGTTGGGCATGGCTTGTATGTAAATATTATAAATATTTATGTAAATATTGAATTTTTTATTAAAAAAGCAACTTTTACCCAAAATCAGGCAAAGCAGGCAGGCAGATTGAGTTGCTCACAGAAACACAGATTCATTCAGAGATCTATCTTTCTGCCATCGGCTACCTGCACTGAATAATAGAAGCTTCAGTCCTAAGGAATGTCCTAAAGAAGATCTAAAGATTAGGTCCAACAATTTCTTGCTTTCTAGCTAATCTAAATCTCCCGGCACAGCAGAACAGCTGATGGTCGGGGGGGGGGAGGAAAAATAGCAACTTAGCAGGCAAGTTTGCCAGGTAAGGAGTGGGCAGGGAGGGTTCCAGCGGGCCATGTGTGGGTGGCGCAACCTTGTGTTCCTGCACAGCCTGGATTTGAGGGGTGCTCTGTGGGTCACATTTCTCTTTGGCCCACCAAAATTTTCTTGCAGCCCACCGGTTGGCGACCACTGGTATAAACAATCATGTAAAGGGGGAATCATTGAATCTAAAATCTTCTGCATCATCAGAAAGAGCAATATAAATTTTGGAAGATAGCATCCTTACTTCTTATTTTCTATTTTCTTTTCTCTCCTTTCAAATGCTCTCCTTTTGATTTTCTCACTCTGAGGTTTATATCCCTTCCTCGTTATGCCCATTCTAACTGGGGTTAAAAAACAAACATTGGTAATTGATTCTGATATGTTATTTTTCCAATCTTTAACATAATAATTTGAACCAATATTGATGAACAAAATATAAACTAGACACATGATGAAAGTATTGTTATTGAGTTATTCCAAGGATTCAACTAGGTGTACTTTTACTCTTCCCACAAATGTTGTTCCAGATTCTGTTCTCCATATGGTAGCTGGACTGAGAGAAGAATGGAGGAGGCAATTAGGATCCCTTGGAGGGAATTTGCTTTTCAGGAGCAATGCACCTATATTGCGAAGGACCAGTTTTATGGGCCACACTCCATCCATCCCCCAGCTCAAGTTTCTTTACCTGTCAATCTGGACTTCAAGCATGACAGCAACAACAAGGTACTTCCAATATTCTCTTTCCCCAAAGTCCATTTAATTCATTGATTCCATTGGTTTGACTGTGCAAAATTACACATTCTCATTCTCCTTTAACTACTATTGATACATTTTCCCCCACCTAGACAACTCCCAGATCACACAACACAACCTCTCTAATCTGCACTGCTGTTAGCTATTATCATTTTTCGTTTCTTTATAACCAATAAATAACTGTTGATAACACTTTCATTAAAAGTAATTTGAAAGCCAATGCTTTCCCATCCTTCCCACAGCTCTGAATGGCTACAGGTTTAGCACAAATCCACAACATTAATAGGAAATCCTTAGTCTTGGAACTCTCTAGTAAATTAACCAGCTCTCCTTTAATATCTAGGTTTCTCTTTGTTATGCAGATACTTTTTTCACTGATACCACCTAAGTGTGTTTCAATAAAGGAGGACTCCTAATAGCATAGTTATGGCAAGCCTGTAGGGTAGTTAAGAAGAAGCAGGAACATTAATTTATTCCCACCAAACTATATGAGAAGGAAGCTGGTATTTGTGTGTGTGTGAATAAACAAACAAACAAACAAACAAACAAACAAATAAATAAATTCTGGCCTGGTTTCACATATTCTAGATGCATATTAAACAAATGTTATGCTAGAAGTGAGGAAACCCAGCCACTGATTCACCCTCAGCCGAACCTATCTGTGCTCTTAAGTGAAGAGTAGACATTCATTAAAAAAAAATCTTTGTTTTCCAGGTATTTCTTAGGGCCAGAATACTTGTTTGCTCCTTTATTCTCAAAAGCAATATGTAAAGTTTATACAGCTTTACAATTGGAATCTTCATAAAAGAAATCAAACCACAAACATTTATTAGAATGACTATTATAGAAACATTACAACGATGTCTGCTAATCAGAATTCTCCACAGCCACCTTTTCCTCATTGCAGAATTTTAGCAGATTTTCATAACTTCAATTAAAAGAAGAAACAGTATGTCTGCAAGGAATCCAGCAAGGATGCAGAGGTCCAACCCATGTCCATGTGAGCTCAGATTACCTTTCATAAAAACCATGAGTGTATTTAATATCCATGTGCATGCGTATGTTTGCACACATACAAGCATAGAGGAAAATCTTGCTGTTGGTCTTGACTGCCTGTGACTTCACATATATATATACATACAATTCACTTCCTATATATATAAAACAGGCTTGACAATGCCAGTGCTGCCACCTAGCTGGAAGTTAATGGGTGAGGGAGAAGTTCCCTGAGGATGGGCTCCAGCATGAGTCCAAAAGCTCTGAAAACTAAACCTCTGGTCCTGGTGACCGACCCAGATTGGACCCTGAAATATTATCCTGGGACATATATATTTATTTGCCCTCATTTGTGAGAACTTTACCAATTTGTACTTGCATCACCGCTTCAAAAAGCTGCAGTCAGAATATGCTATCTCAAAGTGCTTTTCTGTATTGCCAAATAATGTACAAGGAAGACTATGAAAAGATGAAGCAAACCTTCACTATGCTGACCAACTCAATTTTTTTTTCAGATAAAAGCTGTGATCAGCAAAGAGTACATTCCTGAATGTACATACTTTGGTCCACTGATTGGGAAAATCTACACCAGAGAAAATATTCCCAACCATGTGGACCAGAAACACTTTTGGAGGGTAAGTATTGATCATTGGAAAATCGTTCTTCTTCGGGCCAGGTAAAATAACGATAGGATTTAACATACAATGCTCTGCCCAATAAATAGTTATCCAGAAATAAGTTATTCTTCTATAACAAGAGGTTATATCATGTGAATTGACAAAGTTACGTGTCTTTCTTTAAACAATGTTATGACTGGACCACAAATTCATTATATCATGCAAATTTGAGTTTCATAAGTGGCCAGGATCCATAAAAATCTTGGCTGATGTTGTGAAACACTGACTTCCAAGCACAGCATTTAACGAACAGTATCTGCAACAAGTATTGCATTATGTCAGGTTCCAATTTAAAAAAAGAATGTTTGAAGAAAGATTTCCTAATACGTCACTCATTCTCTGTTTTCTTTCTTGCTCAGGTTTTTTCTGCAGAAGGAAAACTTCACCACTTTGTTGATGTGAGTGACTCTTTTTTCAGTAACTGGATGTGCTATGTGAATCCAGCTCCCACCTATCGTGCTCCAAACCTGATGGCCTTCCAACACAACCTGAAGATCTTTTTCTATACTGTAACTCCCATCTTAGCAGGAATGGAACTTTTGGTTTGTCCTACCCATGAGGAATCCAGGCACTTACTGTATTTGTATCCAAGGGAACTTACATCTGAGCCAGGTGAGAATGTTATAACACTGCGTGAATCTGTTCTTGCCAATAACTTGAAGAACAAGAATTCTGGCAAAAACAGCCTTGTTCCCCACCCATTAGGCAGTCCATTTGCAATCAAATTGAGAAGGAAGATCTACCTTTCTTACATACTGAGACAAACAAACATTCTACTGTTCAAGATGGATGGGATAGGAAACCTGTGCATCTCCAAAGACTGATGAACCACAACTCAGCAATCCATTAATATTGCCAATAATGTAGAAAACAAGAGATCCAGTCCAGCAACATACGAAAAGCTACAGAATGTGAGCCCTGCTCTATGAGAAAATCTACACTACCTGTGGATTTATTACAGTTCCTAGAATTATCTGGGAAGAACCCATATAAATTTATAATACTGGTATCTTGTTTATAATTACAGCTATAATTACAACTTAACTCATAATTAATTATATAGATAATTTAATTGGAATTAATTACAGCCAGCCAGTCTGATATGGTTAAAGTGTCAGGGCAGACGAAACTGGGAGACTGTGAGTTCTAGTCCTACCTTAGGCACAAAGCCAGTTGAGTGGCCTTGGGCCAATCACTTTCTTTTAGCTCTAGGAAGGAGGGAAGCCACTTCTGAAAAACCTTGCCAAGAAAAGTTGTCAAGCAGTATTTGAGAATTGGACACAACTGAATGAAGAAGAAAAAAACTTAATTGTAGTATCTACCAGCTATGTGTAGTGGAGCCCTGATTATATTTTCTTGCTTTCAAATCACCTTTGGTTAGATGATTTCCACTGAAGAAGGGATATTCCTTAATGCTTCCATGATAGTGTCTTTTTTCTTAAATTTGACTTTGTTTTTTTCCCTCTGAGTCCCAAACTTTCACTTTATGCAGTTGCAGACTTAGAACCCTGTAATACTAAAAACAGAAGCTATTTTAAAGATAATTGTGGATGGAGTACTTTCAAGTATTGTTGGATTCAAATTCCCATAAGCTTCAGCCTACATGGCTATGGTGGTGGAAACTGTAGTTGCCAACATCTAGAAAGTCATTGTAACCATTAATTTTAAAAGAATAAAGTACCAAATATGTGTTCAGTTTTTCAGTACAGGATTTAATCTGCTTCTTGTACTAGGTTAATCAAAGGTAACAGAAACACTTAGAAACTGAACATTACTAGTATACATGCTTCATTTATAGATAAAGTACTCTTTTTTTCTGAAATGTTGAATGCTTAGTAATATAGATATGTGTATTGTATATATGTTTAATATTTTAAATAGGTAGTTAAGAGGAAACGATTGCTTGTATTCTTTGTTTCCTTCACAGGTATTGTTTTTTTATTTGTGCCTGTGTTATATTACAGTATACTATTCTGTGTAGATCACATTCATTTTACTAATTTATATAGTCATAGGCTTGTGTTTGGTGTCTACCTTCTTCTTAAAATAAAATGCATCCCAGCAAGAGACATTGGACAAAGAGAAGAAAATAGAATGAACAAATTAGAAGAAATAAGTATTTCCTATAATCACTACAGTTGTTTTCCCTAGAAGAAACGATAATCAAAGCTAACTTATTCTATATTATTTGCTATTTACTAAAAAAGAAAATAAAGGGGCAGCTGTCTTTTTCTCCTTTTAATAGTTTTAAAAATTTTGAAGAATGCTTCACAACATCTCTAGGACAGATAAGAGATAGAGATCTGATTATCAGTCAAAGTGAGACTAGTAAAAAGTAACTTTGATTCTTCCTTTACAGAATGTCTAAACTTGAAAAATCTTCCAACAGAACCTTCATTTGAGGTGGCTTCTTATTCACTGCAGATTAACTCCAAAGATAACAAAAACTGTACAGTTATCGCAATAAAAGACAAAAGGGAAGATGAAGAAGAAAATGTTGAACAGGATGTGCTATCAAGGAAGATAACAGGCCACAAAAACACAAAACCTATGACAGATGTCTTTCACAGAGTTGAAAAACAGCCTATGAAGCTTAAGAATTCCTGCACAGAATCCAAGTTTAAATTTGCAGAAGTGATGCTTGGTCTCCCAGGAGAGAGAAATATGGGACGAGAAAATCAATATCACCATGGATTTAGTCCATGCAACTCAATGACTTCACCACAGATGGAACATAATATTTGCAACAAGTATTCATCCTGTTCAGAATATCACTATATGGGCAAAATGCCCAATGCCTATTGTCGTATCTCCAGCACCACGACTGCCCATTATCCCAAATCTATGATGGTTTCTCATGATCTCAGCTTCCCACCAGGTCTATCACTAACGAATTCAACGAAAATTAAATCTCAAAGTTTGTCTTCCCAGGATATCATGAAGAAATCTCTATATCATAATGTCTATCTTCCCATCTTGACTCAAGTACAATACAATGCTAAATCTCCAAATCTGTTCTCTTTTTATGCTGGAACATTTTCACTTCTAGGCTGTAATTATGAGAATCCAACCCTTTTTCATGACTTCAAAGGTCAACAGTTGAAAGCTGCTTCTCCAATTTTGTATCAGCATGAGCCTGTGAATCTCAGTACTCCCAAAAACTATTCCTCAATGTCCAAGGAAGGCAACAAGTCCAAGTCATACCTGTTGAACAGGAAGAATGGCAAAATTAGATATGAGTGCAATGTCTGTGCTAAAAACTTTGGACAGCTTTCCAATCTGAAGGTATATCCAAACCAGTATGTTAGTGACTGGATGGAATGATTGTGAGCGATTCCACACTGCAGCCTAAATTGTTTGTCTCTCATACTACTCCTGGATGTTTCTTAACTTAATTTCAGACATTCCAGTCTAGATTAGTGAATTGGCAACTGGGCTGGGCTGAAGCTCCATTCAGAATACAAATTTTACAAGATTGATTGAGTTTTTGTCCTTCCCACCCCTACAGGAAAGTTAAGTTTTGCTGGCTATTTCCTGTGTGGACTGATCTCTGTGCTTGCCTTTTTTTTCAGTAACTGTTCCTTCTTAATTCCATCTTGCCCAGATGTCTCCACACATACTATTCTCACGTGTCCTTTATCACTAATACAGATCCTTTTCTTCACAATGGAAATGAGTCAAGCAGAAAGTATGGATCTGCCCCATGACATCCACAAAAGTTTAGATAACAAGGTGTTGTTTGCACCATGGTGAATATTGCAAACCTCATATATTGCCACCATTGTGTAGGTTATGCAAGAGGCCTTGCCCTACAAATCATTGGCTATTAGGTTCTTAGTTATTCTTTCTATTTTTAGTCCATTTAAGAAGCAGGTATTTCTTCATCCAACCAATATGAATAGTTTTATAATTTTAGAACTGTAAGCTGCCCAGTCACCTAATTGAGTTGGGCAGCTATAGAAATTGAATGAATGAATGAATGAATGAGAGAGACAGAGAGAGAGAAAAAGAAAGAAAGAAAAAGAAAGAAAGAAAGAAAGAAAGAAAGAAAGAAAGAAAGAAAGAAA